ATAGAGAGACACATTTTCAGCCAATTAAACATTTTAAATATAGTTAATGAAATAAAAATGGTCTTTTCCAACCAGGAAATCATTTTAAAATAAAAACATATAAATAAAATGAAATATTCCAGGTTTTACATGACAATGGGAACCTAGATACTTCTTATCTTTAGTTATGAATCTAAAGATCTGTAGTAATTTCCTGTGGACTGCATTATCATTTTCAGGCATGACATAAACATTGACCCACCTTTGCTTGTGTCAATGCAGCTTTCTTCACTTTCAACTGAGACTGAAGCAGTTTGAAGTTTTTAGACCACCCTTCTGTTTTAGTGTCGCTTGTTGCGACCCCCAAATCATCATATAAAGACATTTTTCCTCCTTCCCAACCAAAAACTCTGAAATACACACACACGAAACATACTTACATGAGCATGATTAAACCCACATGTTTAAACGTATTGAAAACATCGGTGTGTTATGCAACAAAAGCTAGCGTATTCAGAAAATAAGTAAATTTGGCGTGTGTGTACATTTTAAACATAAACACACAATCTAAATGAACCTGCAGCTATTTCCCTTACAAAAAAAATATAAACGATTGTTTTAACAGTAAAGAATGATTTATATATTTAGCATTCACTTCCATGCGGCTTACAACGATTATTGTACCATATAAATAGACTAAATGGCTATTGTCTAACCTTAAATCACTAATCCACTTTATCTGTCAAATATATAAAGTTAGATACACACCTTTAACGAAAATAACTCCTCTACTCGCTTTGCACTGTCGGTTAGCATAACATGCTACGAGTGTGATGTCGCGGACGAATGACATCACCACCTGTGGTCAAACGCACCACCGCGTCACGACGTTTTTATTAATTGTGTTTGATTTTATTGTTTTATGTATTGTGCAGAGCCTTCCATCGCAGTGAACAGAAAAATGTTGCGTCAAGGCAGTCTGCGGTGAAGTGGCTGTGGCGCAGTGGTGTTTCCACAATATTCATGTTAATGAATCTGCGGACATGTAAGTAAATAATGTTGGTAACACGTTAGTATAGAGACCAATTCTCACTATTAACTAGTTACTTATTAGCATGCATATTATTAACATATTAGCTGTTTATTAGTAGCCTACTTATAAAGCACATATTCTGCATGAGCATATTCTACAACCCGAATCCTGCCCAACACCTAAACCTAACAACTACCTTACTAACTATTAATAAGCAGCAAATTACGAGTTTATTGAGGCAATGTCGTAGTTACTGGTTTGTTAATAGCGTGAATTGGACCTTAAAATAAAGTGTGACCATAATGTTTTATTCTAGTCTTCATAAGGAAAAAAACAATTACATGGTCATGGACTATGGCGTAATACTTTCCACTTTGTTTAATTTTTAGACAGAATATAACGCAAAAACCATGACAACAACAACAGGTAGGCTGTATTATATTTTTATAGTATTGTATTAATTAATATAGTAATCTACATACTGTTACTAATTAATTATCAGTAGTTTAATTATTTATTTATTATTATTATTATTTAGCTTTTGTTTGCATTAATGCAGAATATAGTATCCTGCCAATGAAGCCTAAACTATATGATGTTTTTTATATGGCTTATTGCTGCCTTATTTTGTAAGGATCATCTTATCAAGAATGCCAACTGACTTTCATTATTTGAGATTACTTAAGATGTATTTACTATATTTGATCCACATGTTCAAGTGGGCATGAGCATAGATATATAAAAAATATCTTAACGGAAAAAAATTATTTCTTAGTTTCTGCATGTTTTAATGAGTGATATTGTTTCAAATCATGAAACGGGTGTTGCCTGACTTTGACACATATCTTCAGAACAAAACAAAACTATAACAACCTCATTTTTATATGGTCAAATGTAATTATTCTGACTGTTTGAGTTTGATTTAAATTAACCATTGGTCTTCCATAGTGGCATACATTTTTAGATCAGGATAACAACAGTTAAAACGACTAAATTAGAAGCATCACGATTACTAAATTGTGTCATCTGTTACAGAGACAACTGAACAGACATTTAGAAGTTCATTTTAAAATGCAAAGTATTCTAAATGAAAATAAAGAACACTGAAAAGCAAGAAGACAATTTGATCTTTTTCTGAGAATAAGTTTCCATCATCCTGTAAACACTTTTTAATCATAACAAAATGTACCTTTATGTATTATACATATGAGTATATGAGTAACATAAGACAGTAATATGAATATTTGGAATAACAATAAAAGAATCATAAAAAAATAACTAATAATGAATATACTGTATAAACGAATATGAAAAATAAGAAAAATATACCAGCATTGGACATTTGCATACACCAAGTATTTGGCTGCTTCAACTTTCAAGTTTATTTGCACTCTATTACATTGTGCCTCATTCCCAGATAGCAAAATTCCTGAGGCCCAGATCAGGCCCACACCTGACACTTTCATCTGGCCCACATACCGCATGGCATGGCACTTGGACAAGCCAAAAGAATGCCCAATGTCAGCCATAAATAAACCAAGTAAAGCAGAACTGGCCCAAACCTGGGCCACACTGATTTTAATTTTGGCCCAGATCCAACACCTAGCTCTGGCCCACATACTGTGAAGAATGATAGCACTTGCCCACATAGCAAACGATTCTAGGCCGAATGTGGCCTCAAGCTGGCACTGCTGGCCTCCTGTCGGCAATGTCATGTACTCTTTCAGCCAGAGCTGGGCCATGTGTGGCAATAATGGCACAGCGTGGATCACTGCAAACAATACGAGGGCCGATTGTTGGTGGGAGGGAGGAGTGTGGCCCAGATCAATTCAGTGATCATGTGGCCCAAATCAGGCTTGTGATCTGACAGCATATTATGTGACCCATGATAAACAAGATAAATAAAATATTACATGATAAAGGTTAAATGATCACAGAAATTTCAATGAAGTGTAGTATTGTTTCAATTTAATCTTTAAAATGGCAAGTCAAAACAGAATGAAAAGTTATCATTTCAAAATGAAGCAAATCAGTAAACTGCATTAAACTGCACTTAATTATAAATTATTATACAAATAATCTTATAATCCTTACATACAGAGAGAGAGAAATCATTTAACCATTATCATGCAATATTTTATCTATCTCGTTTACCATGGGGCACATAATTTTATTAATATGCTGTCATACACAATCATTCAATAAAATGATCATAAAAGTATTTTAATTTGATCAAAATCTTCGGTATCTGTGTGATGCTTTGTGAGAAAAACAGATCCAAATTCAGACCATTCATCGATATTTATCTCCTTCCTCTGTAGCTATAGTAACAATTTCAAAATTTGCCGTTTCAAGAAGTTTTACAAAATGTTTTACGGCAGTGATATTAAATGCTCATTGGCTCTCGCCGGTTTCGTCATAGATTGCGACATGCCGTGTTTCTGTGTTTGAAGGCGAGATGTGCACCTTCACGGAGTGGATCCGGATAGTATTTTCAGCGTTTAACTTAAATTATGCCCTGCTCCTCACACTAAACTATTATATTCCGCCTGAGAGGACTGCGACTGCAGCACATTGTTATTTGGACTAACGTTACTGTGGTACTGCTTTTTGACATTTCTGCAATAAATCAATTCTTGTTAATAACTTTACACTTGTCTGTCTGTTACGTTTCTCTTATAGACTGTATACTGTATAAATGTTTAGTGCACTTTTTAAATATTGTACATTTCATCATCTCTCCAAATATACAAACATATAAATATTGTATTAGTAACGTTACATGTTGCGTAATAATACGTACATATAAGATTTGATTGATTTGTTCTTTATTAAAAAAAAAAATAATGCAATATTTTTTTATTGTACAGTTACGTGATTTGTGGATTTTAAGGATGATTTTCTATTCAGTTAAATGTACTTTATTGGTATAGTATGTTTACATTATCAAAACATTTCACAAAATAATGGTATTACCGTAAAATAAATAAATATTAATATTCTGTATTGGGTCTGGACAATATAAGGCTCAGGTGTGGCTCAGTTTTGGGGCTTCTGGTTTACTTAAGGCTGAGAATCGGTACCAATGCTAAAACCTATTCAGACTCAGGCCAGTTATTGCCCATGTGTGGCCCTTGTCTTAAATCCAGATCTGGGCCACTCCAGGGCCGTCATTCTTTGCGGTATGTGGGCCGAGGGAAAAGGGTTTGTGTGGACCAGAGCTGGGTCAGAAAAAAATTGCTATGTGGGTGGGCGGTCCGCTCCTGTTTTCCAAATTTGGGCCACAAGCAAGCCAAAGGAAGACCCAATGTCAGCCATGAATAAACCAAATAAAGCAGAACGGGCCCAAATCTGGGCCATATTGATTTTAATTCTAGCCCAGACCAGGCCGAGATCCAACACCTTGCTCCGGCCCACATACTGTGAAGAATTATGGCACTTGGGTAGTCCGCTCCTGTTTGCCAAATTTGGGCCACAAGCAAGCCAAAAGAAGGCCCAATGTCAGCCATGAATAAACCAAATAAAGCAGAACTGACCCAAATCTGGGCCACATTGATTTTAATTCTGGCCCAGACCCAACACTTTTCTCTGGCCCACATAATGTGTAGACTGATGGAATTTGGGCCACAAGCAAGTCATAGGTAGGCCGCATGTCAGCCATGAATAAACCAAATAAAGCAGAACTGACCCAAATCTGGGCCACATTGATTTTAATTCTGGCCCAGACCCAACACTTTTCTCTGGCCCACATAATGTGTAGACTGATGGAATTTGGGCCACAAGCAAGTCATAGGTAGGCCGCATGTCAGCCATGAATAAACCAAATAAAGCAGAACGGGCCCAAATCTGGGCCATATTGATTTTAATTCTAGCCCAGACCCGGCCCAGATCCAACACCTTGCTGGACCACCTTGCTCCGGCCCACATACTGTTTAGAATGATGGCTTTTGGGTGGACCACTCCTGTTTGCCAGATTTGGGCCTCAAGTAAGCCTTAGCATTGCCGCATGTAAGCCAACCAAATAAACCAAAATTGGCCCTAATGTGGGCCACAGTTGATTTTTATTCTAATCCTGGTCTTCCCCACATTCCTCATGTGGCCCACATGCTGCATGGAATGGTAGCATTTTGGCAGTGGTTCACAAGCAGGCTACTGCACAGGCACATTTTAGCTAATAATGAATCAAATAAACCATAAATATACATTATCTGGACTCACATAACTGAGTTATGCATCAACAATACTCAACATATTGTAAAGAGAAATTTAAAAATGTCCTCCCTAAATGTTCAAATAAGTTCCAGAAATGTGTCCTACTTGGTAAAATCACCCCAACCCAAGTTTTGCACAAGCAGCAATTCAAATGTCACAGATAAATATTCAAAGACACATTCCAAGACTTTAAAAACAGTTCTTTACAAGTTTGAACCCAAATGCTTCTCACTCAGGCCCTGTCCACACGGAGACGCATTTAGCTGTATACGCATACATTTTCTATCGTATAGGCGTTTCGTCCACATGGATCCGGCGTTTTGGGAGAGTGAAACCGATATTTTTTGAAACCGGGTCCCAGAGTGGATAAATCTGAAAACACCGCCCTTGCGTTTTCGTGTGGACAGCGAATCCGTATATTTTCTGAAACGATGACGTCATCAGCCCACGTCTCGCCCCTAGTCAGACACCGCTACGTCATGTAACAGCAACAAAAACATGAACAAACACTGAACGATTGTCTTTTTATTAACTAACATTAACACAGGTTAATACATATTGTTCCATGTTTGTTTGTATACCACGCGCAAGGTTTATGCGCATAGTCAAAATCTTCTTC